AGATGCATATATATATATATGTATATATATGTGTGTGTGTATTGTATGTGCGTGTGTGTATAACAAAAAGTATTGCGCGATTGACTTTTTTTATTACAGTTTGTCTGTATAAGATACAGAATCAGCCCAGTGTGACGCATACCTATTCGCGAAAGCAATCTCGAGTAACTCTCATTGTGTACGTTTTCCTGCCTCTATATGATTTATCACTTATTTTCATATATGTCAGTGTTCAACTATCATAAATCAGTTTATTGACTAACAAGCACCACTCACTTGATTTCTAAAGCTCGGCAACGCACATCAATTCACATCACAAGACTAACCGGGGCACAAGTAAACTAGACGAATGCCTGTCCATACCCCTGTGCAACAGAAAGTCATTCCTTCAAGGTAGCCGGCATTCTTATACCCGAGTGCTGCAACCCTATTGGAACGATTGTGTGTGTGTGTGTGTGTGTGTGTGTGTGTGTTTGTGTACGTATGCTGGCGTCTGTGTATATGCAGAGCACATTTGCAACGTGTTTCTGGAACCACCTGTGGTGATTAGATGTGAATTGGAACGGCGTGTTGGCTTTCGTTTTGTAGCAAAATTAAATCTTCAATCCGTCTGACATACAGACCTTAAAACACCACAACTGTTTCCTACAAATAGTGACATAACCTTTCGTGCGAATAGTATTTTCGAGTTAAATATGTACCCTTTCATTCTAATCTTATACATTCCCATTCCAGCCACAGACGCTCTCAAATTCATCCCACAAAACTTCATCCTTGTCATACACACATATATCTTAGACACAGATACCCCCATTCTTGTCATATACATCCCTATTTCAGTCTCACATCTAGTCACATACACTCTCAGTTTAGTCATTGATAACTTTATTTTAGTCATATGCACACATTTTTTAGTCACAGATACCCCTATTCTTGTCATATACATTCTTATCTAAGTCAAATTCACTCACACTCAAATCACATGCACTCAATTTAGTCATCGATAACTCCATCTTGGTCATATGCTCACATTTTAGGCAGATAAACAATTGTTCTCATGTACACTCATCTTTCAGTCATCTGCACTCTTGTTCTATTCAAAAACACTCCCGATTTAGTCAAAATCTTCGTTTAGTCTCACATAAACTCCTATTTCAGTCTCATACACTCCCAATATGGTCACATACCCCCCCCAATTCAGTCATGTACCCTTCCATTCTCGTTACAGACTCTCCCGATGAAGCCATATACACTTAATATAGTCATATACGATCCTATTTCGGTCATATACACTCTTAATATACTCATATGCGATCCTATTTCGATCGTACACACTCTTGTATAGTCATATACGATTCTATCTCGGTCATATACACTCTCAGTCTACCCACACCACTCCCAATGTGATTGCAGGCCTGCAACCGCCGGCGATAACTATCGATCCCCTGACCATCGCATTGCGTAGTAAGACCACTGTACATGTCCCGGGTGATATGATTCCGAACGATCGGACCAGCCAGCTGTGTAGGCAATTTGTCGATATATCATTGAACAGGTATGCTTTCCGCTCACCAGCACAAGTTGCAACTATATCAACACTCCTATATGTATGTCCTATTTTGCATCACATCTCTTGTCCGTCTCAACACAGGTCGTGTTAATCTCAAAACATTCTCTGTTCATCCTATTGCATGTCCTCTGTGTCCCAGCGAACCTGTATAATGTATTCCAGCATAAGATGTAGCTATCTCATCACTTCCATACGCATGCTCTATTTGCACCACATGCCCCATCTATTCCAACACATGTCGATTCACATTCACATTTGAGTCAGACTAAGCCATCCGTACTTTTGTTCTCCCTGACTGACGCGTATTCTTATATTTACCCCATCGCATGTACCATGTAAGCCAGCCCACATGTCCCATCTACCCTAAACCACTGATTCTCAGCCCACACGTTGTACTAGTCCCAGCTCTTGTGTTGAATCTCTTCCTTCCAAAAACCTACTATCCCCAATGCATATTCTACTCTTCTCAGCAAGCATATGCAATCCTTTCCAACTAATACTGCATTCTCTCTGTTGCACTCCAGGACTCTTGCAGGCACCCTGAGGCCCAGGGAACACTTGCGGGTGGCGGGCAGTAATACCGCCGTACACATGCGTGCACAGTCACACTCACCGGTACGCAGTGGCAACCGAACGACACCCGTACTACGATCACCCACGCGAGCATCCAGTTGTGAGATGTCACTGGAAACACAGCAACCGAATCAGGCTGAGGGAGGCTTGACAGGCCACCCTGTGGGTAGTTCCGATGCAGGGAGGAATTCGTACGACAGGTTGTGCAAAACTGGGCTAGATTTGTCCGACCGGTTGGGTGAGAGGAGTGATGAATCTGATATGTTATCGGATAGGTCCGTGAGGACAGGAAACCGCGCAGAGGTCGATGCTGATTATAGTGTACGCCCGCGAGTGAGCGTCAAAGCAGAACCGCAATGTAAGACCAATCGACACCCCGAGGATTTGTTGGACAATATGGATACTGGCGAGATGGATATTCGTCGTACAACGGGGCTGAATGTAACGTACGATGAACCTAGAGTCGGCAGTGCGGCACAGTGCGTACGTCAGACAGGGATTGGTATGCGACAGTCAGAGGGTAGTATACGGCATCTAATGGATGATATACGACAACCAGAGGGAACTGCGAAAGTACCGGTAATTGCAATGACAGAGCCCACAGAGGTGACGGGGGCCATAGTGAACTGCAACAGGGGCTACAAAAGGGCCATATCCGGGGCACCAATTACACCAGGAGTGGGTAGTGACGACGGGGATGTATGCATGGGTATCAAGGAGGAGAGTACTGGTATGTGTACCTGGTGTTGTTATTGTGTGTAGTATATTGGGGTTGCTCCTGTTCCATCCTAAGAATCCTTGTTGTAGGCGTGTTTGTCCACACGGTCTGACTCTATCTCGGGCACGTGTAATTTTGGCATATTAAAAAGCTATCGTATCCCAGAGCTGAGGGCCAATTCAATAGTCTTAGTGTACATTTAGTCAGCACACACGCACGTCCTGACGCAAGAGGGAAATGAAATGGGTATCTATTCACAATTTTACGTGCATGTGGATACGTATGTACCGACATACAATCGAATTTTCAACCCCTTGTCTAACGTGAATGTCTGTTTCATTACAACACTGTAGTTAAAAGTATCAGTTCTACTCACCGAAAGCGACGGAGGGTTACCTTCGCGAAGAGCGTTGTATTCAAATCGCAGAGAGAGTATACTGAGCCTGGCGATGAGACTGACCACATATCGCGCGCGGAGCAGTACAAAGACACCGCCAAGGCCCTCTCTGAGCGCCTGCAGGTGCGTTGTGTTTTTGAATTCTGCGTCTGTTCTGTGTGGGGATTTTAGTTTCACTGCGTATGTGTGTATGTGTGTGGTTGCGTCGCTATGTATCGGTATGTATGCATGTTGTTCACGTGTGTGCGATTAATTTCGGTGTGTTTTTTTGTGCCTGTGTTGTATTGTTTTTGTAACTGGATGTTTGTGTGGTTGTGTGTGTCTATGTCGTTGCCTAGATTTTTGTTTCTGCGTCACTCAATTAGTTTTTTTAAAATGAATTGATCAGATATCCTGACATATCGCCTTCAACTTATTTCTTAAGATATCCCGACTCTATCGTCATCCCCAGTCTATTCTGAACCTGGAATCGCATCCTGGTTCCATCTATTCCAATATATTCTCAAATCTGAGCAGATGTCCCGTTTCAAGCTCTAAAGCGAATTCATCCCTGAATCTGAGCAGTCATACTGATTCAATTTTTACCTTGAATCTTTCTTGGAACTGAGCAGACATTCCGAATTAAACTCCACCTCGAATCTATCTCTAAATTTGAGCGGAAATCCCGATATTCAATCCAATTCGGTCCTATTTGGTATGTTATGTGTAGACATCTGGACGTCATCTGCTCGCGCTACGGCTGGCGTTGCACCTCTCCAGCGTATCAGAAGAGTACTTCGTCAGCGGCACGCTCTTCACCACCGGGACAACCCATGCCACCTCCCACCACTCACATCGCTCACCCCCTGCCCGAACTTCGGGAAGCTTCCGACCCGCGCGGGGCTCCCATACGGCCCATCGCAGCACGTTCACTCCTGACGTGTTTGTGGTGGAGTGTGTGCGGATGTCCACGGGTGAAGTGGTGGGGATGGTACTCAGAGAGCGCGTGCTGGATTTGGGCATGTGTGTGGCGTACGGCCTGGCGCATACGGATGCATTCAACACTAACTTCAGGACCTTAATCAAGTAAGTGTGGGCTTTTTGATGTGTGAGATGGGACTGATAAGCGCACGCTGGTGGCCAGAATGATTCACAATGTGTCAGGTGGTTCACGTTGGTTGTTTTCGGGTTTTATTATATTGAATGGTAGTCAGTCTTGCGTGCCGATAGATACTGCCTGCAGGTTTCCCATGCCTTCGAAGTGTGCAACTACCTCTGACCTCTGAGTATCGAACTTTTGCTGAACTCGTCTTCATGAGTGTGTCATTTATATCTGCCAATGTTTTCGTTAGTATTGCGTAGTCCTAAAAGTTGTGCGTAAGCTCTGCATAGCTGTGCAAGTTGCTTTGCTGTTTGGTGTCGTCGTCTGCTACTGCCTTTGGTCATCGGATGCTCAGTCCTGAGTGTGTGTTTGCCTGGCGTTGTGTGCATACCAAAGCGTTTGTCAGCATTGTGTAGTCACATGTATCTCTAGCAAATTTATCATAGCTGCGAGGGTTACTTGTCTCTTTGGTTTTTGAGTTTGAATCTGTCTCTAGGCATCGGGACCTCTCAGTTCGTGCTGAACTCTGGTGTATGTGGTGTCTACAGCATGCTGATTTGCGTCTCCAAACCTGTCTAGCTTATCATATATGCGCTCGGGTATTCGCAGGCACACCTCCCCACCCCGAGATCTACAGATAGTTCCTAGTTTTGGCCCCATTAAACCCCAAATTCAATTTTACATATTTTTTCTAACTTTGACTGCATTAAACTGCAAACACCAACTTTGCTGCGCTTCCTTCTGCCATCGGGGGCGTTCGTGTGCAGCAGTTCTTCAATCAAATGTAGGGTCTTCTCTAGATGGACTCTCTCCTCTGTGAACCTACCCTTTTAGTTCCTAAGTCTAATACTACCTCCTACCTACAATGACGTATGCATACAACATTGTACAATCGCATGCAGGGCCTGGCAACGATCATACTCTTCTGTGAACTTGCAATTAAAGATAAAGCACCCTAAGTCTATACCCACCTCGTTCCTACAGAGACGTGCGCATACAGCAGTTGTTCAATCGCATGCAGGGCCTGGCAACGGTCGCACTCAGCGTGGCTCAGTGTCAGCAACACCAGTCACATGTGGACGAATACCACAACATGGTGGTCACCTGCAAGTGGTATGCCCGGTGTCTGCAGGCGGGTATACGGCTCAACGCAAAGCGTCTCGACGAGGCCAACGGCAGGTGTGTATGAAGTACGGGTAATAGGAGCAGTGGGCATCAACTTATACACGTTGTGAGCATGTTTCGACCGTGTTGTTGGGGTTTGGTATGCCGATTCAACCTGCACATGTGTAACAAAAACAATCGGGAGGAGGAAAGGGCAACAGCTGATGTGCGTTGTGGGCATCTAGCATCCATGTTGTTCTTGGTTAAATACCGCTTAGAGACGCAAATATGTTCCGATAGCAATGACAAACGACTGATATCCGACCCTGTATGTGGGCGGTGTCAAGACAATATTTCCATTCCCACTTGCAACTCTGCCTTGCGTTCGCAGGATAAATTTTCAGTCCAACTCACATGAACACCAATTCGAATTCATAATATAGAATACCTCGTTGTGGACTGCGTGTCGATTGTTTAAACATATCGGACGCTCTTTCGAACCGCACGCGCTCTAGTGCTGAACTCTGGCCTGTAGTCGCAGTGAACCACTACACTTTATGTTCACACTACGTCCCTTATAAATGCAGTAAAACCAGCACAAGTACTCAATCGGTCAGCAGGAACTGATACCCATGATCAAATTCGGGTAGCCTTGACTGTTTTCCCTGAGACTAGTACTCTCAGGTATTGACTGGTCTCAATGGTAACTTGAAGCTCACTTATTGCTATTACTACCCCCCGCACACACCATCACCAAAAACACACACACACTTCCCCTCCTTTTCTTTTCTTCTACCGCAGCTACAAAGAATGCGTCATGGCGGAGCTGCTTGTCGGCTCAAGGCTTGATGTGCCGCTGGTGAGAGAGTACTGTGAGTGGGTGCGCGTGCCTGCGCTCAGTCTAGTCCGGTTGTATGTGAAGATCGCCATTGTGGACAGACGTCTGGGCCCCGACGACGACTCAAAGTAAGACTGGGTGATTTTGGGGTTTAGGGTTTAGGGTAGTTCGAAGTGAGCTGAGACATATACGACAGCTTAAGGTAAGACTAGGTTGTGTATGTATGACAATTCCGGGCAAGACTCGGTTGTTTACATACGACGAATCGGAGGTAGACTGGGCTACGTACAACAACTCAAAGTGAGACTATGTTGTGTGCGTACGACTATTCAGAGGAAGACCAAGTTTTATACGTACGACAAACTCGAGTAAGACTTGTTCATATACATTAACCAAAGTAAAACTAAGTGATGTACGTACGACAGTTTGGAGTTAGACTGCGGCAATTCGACGTAGAAATGTGTGAATTACGTAGGACAATCCGGCATACGACTGTCTGATATATATACAACAACTCGAACTAGACCATAATACATACAAGTCGAAATTGACTGTGCAGAACGTACGTATTCACACAGTCGTACTTCAAGTCGTTGTATATACACAACATAATCGTAGGGTGTTCGAGCGTGTATTTTCTTTTCTATACTACAATGCAGACCTCGACGCGTTTAAAGCCCAGAGTGAAAACGTTTGATTTATTATTTATTTGAAGTTCATGGTTAAATTGGTATTGAAAGCGCCTTCGTGTCAGGTGGGTCATTGTAAGTTGATTGTATGGCTCCTGGATGATGTCTGGTATGTGTACTTCACGAATGGGACGAAGGTGCTGGCATAGCATGCACACATTAGGACAACAGATACACATGTGTCTGATGCACATCCTGCATTGCATGCACACATGAGAACAGAAAATACACACATGTCTGATGCGCTTTCTGCATTGTATCGACGGGCGAGTTCACCTCCTCACACACAGCAGAACATACTATGTCACCGCCGCTACATTTCGGGAGGTCCTGTAGAGTCATACATTCGCAACGGCTCTAGAAACGATAATCCAGCCTACGATTAGTGAGACATACGCACATTTGACATAACACATACACACGTGTCTGATTTGCACCCCGCTTTGTAATGACTGACAAGCCCGCCACCACACACACGGCAGGAAGTCACATTCTACCCACACTACATCGCGGGAGGTCCTGCAGAACGCTAGATTCGCAAAGGCTTTGGATAAGCTGATCCAGCCAATGCATCAGACACACGAGGGCGTGTCTACTCTACTATTTGAGGATGTGATGACTGTGTGCAGTCCGTACGATTACGAAGCGATACGGTTTACCATCGATTTAATCACACGATTGCAGGTGTGTGGCGGATATATACAAACATGCACTTTCAAGCATATACATAGACGTATATCATTCTGCCTAGACATGTATATGTGGATCAGGGTGTCGGTGTATGTGAGTTGTATAAATTTGTAGATATATGTATTTTTATATATTTATATTTGTATATATATATTTAAATATATATGTGTGTATATATATATAAATATATGTGTATGTATATATATGTATATACATATATATTTATATATATATATATATAACTATATATATATATATATATGTATGTATAATGTATATGTATTTGTATATGTGTCTGTATATGTATATATATTTATATATATCTATATATATATATATATACATATATATATATATATATATATAAGTTTATGTTCATGTTTATGTTTATGTTTGTGTTTATACATATTCACCCTTTTAGAGTATCCTTGCCTGACCCCGTAGTCGGGGTAAGGATGGACGTATATTCTTATATACTTATTTTATATTTATATATATATATATTATGTATATTTATGTATGTATATCTATCTATCTATCTATATATATATATATACATCTATATAAATTTATATATATATATACGTGTGTGTGTGTGTGTGTGTTGTGTATATATATATGTGTGTGTGTGTGTTGTATATATATATATATGTGTGTGTGTGTGTGTGTGTGTTTGTGTATATATATACATATATGTATGTATATGTATATGTATATGCATAAGTATATATACATATATATATATATGTGCGTGTGCGTGTGCGTGTATATATATATATATATATATTGCACTCGCGTATTTTTAACTGATGCAATTCTGAAAACTAAAGCGTAAAATAAGTCCCGTCATTTTGCACGTTGGTACAGACCATCATAACGCTTGGAAATCATCATTTGAACAAGGCTGAAAAGCAATAGCGGACGTGTCATTCAACATGTCAAGAGCACATCCTCGAACTCCGAAGTCGCGTGTTAACTCTTAGTTTCATTTCCGCACATTTCTATAGACCACTTGGACACCCGGGAAACTTCCCATAAATAAGGATAATGAGCGCAGTCACAAGCGCCTTAGCAAAATGCTACGCCAGGGCGGAGTACTGCTCAAACTGCTGTACAAATACCACCGAGCAACCGATGCGCGTTTGTCACCGTCGGAGTGCGATGCATTTGAGCAGCAGGTATTGTCTGGTTGTGTACAGGGCATGTGCAACGTGACTTTGACGAGTATGAACTTTGGCTTCAACGTAGGTATAGTCGCATATTTTTATATCCTAGTATCACAGGGCGACTGACGTGCGTTCGTCGCC